GCCGGTCATCCCCCCGCCCGAGGTGCTCGGCCCCGGTGCCTACTACCCGCCGCTGGTGTGGGACGCAGGGCTCCTCTCCAGCCTCTTCCCAGGCGGCCCGGGCAGCAAGGCGGCGGGGAGCACGACCCCTGCCCTGGACCTGACGGTGCTCTCCAGTGAGGAGGATGAAGGCAAGAGTTCGGGGCCCCCCAGCCCGGCCTCAGTGCCTGCCACCGCCGAGCGCTTCCGCTGTGCCCAGTGTGCCAAGGCTTACTCCACCTTTGCTGGGCTCTCCAAGCACAAGCAATTGCAAGCCAGGAAATCCTTCAGCTGCAAGTACTGCGAGAAGGAGTATGTGAGCCTGGGGGCTCTCAAGATGCACATCCGGAGCCACACGCTGCCCTGCGTCTGCAAGATGTGCGGCAAGGCCTTCTCCCGGCCCTGGCTGCTGCAAGGCCACATCCGGACACACACCGGTAACTGGCTCTTGCCCTTCTCCCTCCCTTCTTCCCTTATCACCTCCCGCTTCCCAGCTCTGCGGCCCCCAGCGAATCACTGGGCTGGGTGTTATCTAGGAAGATAAGGGCTTCCCAAACCCCCTTGGCCCATCTCTTTAAAATGTCCTTTAAATATCCTCTCCACGAGGTCAAGGCTCAGCATGTAAATCTGTGCTGCTGCTGCTAGGGCCAAGCCAGCCCATAGGCCACAGTACAACAGTGCACACTCTGGCTCTATTTCCTAAACTGGGGCTATGAACTGCTGGAGCACTCCCTGTGCACCACCATGCCCAAAGCATCCCTCTCTGCCCGCACCCAGGCACCCTAGACTCCAGCCCACCACCGTGGTCTTTGACCGCGTTCAGCAGCGATGAGCTCAACTCAGCGCACCCCTACTGCTGAGATGCGCCGCTGGCGGGGCCAGTGGGCAGGTGCTGCGGCGTGAGGCCGGACACCCCCTGCACCTGTTGGGCACCGCAGCTGCAGCCCACCCCAGGGCTGTACAATGCATCTCCCGAGCATCCTTTGTGGGGCAGCGGGGGGGAGCGTAATTGTGCCTTGGCACTGATTTCACACCCTCTTAACGTACTAAAGATGATGGCTGAAGGAAGCCGGGAAGACTTAATTGTGCTTTCCAAATTGAGCATACGCATTTGTTTCCTCCAAAAGGGTCTTTCTGGGAGGAATTTGCCCTGGCCGGGGTTTTCAATGCGAGCCGGGCGGGAGAAGGGGGAGCGTGGGTTTCAGCGGAGGAAATGGCTGTACATTGGCCCTGGCGCCTTCCAGCCGCTGCCTGCTATGATATAATTAACACCCAGTGCTTGGCTTTCCTGCCGCTCCGCACACGGTTCACTTGGCTGCGGGCAGGAGGCGAATATCGTGTCTTCGTTGTACATGCAACTGCCTTGCTGCTTGCAGATGTTTCCAACACTGATTGCCTGTGGTTCACAGCAGAGGTTTTTCTGGGAGTAGGAACTTCCCAAGTCTGCGGCTTTCCTCAAGTAAAGGCTGTGCATACCTCGCCCGGCTTTCCCTCTGAACAATAACCGCCAGCACTTCTTTTCACTCTGCTCTTCACAAACTTTGGCTAATGAATGGCTCCTTCTTTGATATTCCCCATGTGTTGATGCACTGGTTAATTGGGAGCGTTTCTCTTTGTTCCGCAGGTGAAAAGCCCTTTTCCTGTACGCACTGCAACCGGGCCTTTGCTGACCGCTCTAATCTTCGAGCCCACCTGCAGACCCATTCAGATGTAAAGAAGTACCAGTGCAAAACCTGCTCCCGGACTTTCTCCCGCATGTCGCTGCTTCACAAGCATGAGGAGACAGGCTGCTCCGGCTCTCGCTGAGGACTCTGCTCCCCTAGGCGTCTTGCCACATGAATACCTATATTATAACTAGTGTCTGTATGATTAGTTTCCTCCATTGCCATCGCAGTGTGCATCGTGCCAGATGTGGCTACTCCAGCCCTGGGGACCCTCACACTCCTGGCTTGGTGCCTCCAGTGCAAGGCAAAGCCTCATCCTTCTCCCACTCTGGCATCTGAGGGTGCAGGACTGGATTCCGGTGCAAAGTGGGGGTGGTGAAGCAAGTGTGTGAGACTCAGGGTGAAGCCCTGAGCCCAACTGGCCACTGCCACAGCCCCTTGCAGGTGTCCCTGCTCACTGAAGGCACTGGGCACCTTGTGGGGTTGGATCTCCACACCAGCCCCATCGCTGGTATTGAACATTGTGACTGTGTAGCTTGAGGGACTGGGGTATTTTTTATTTTCTTGATAATTTTTTTTTTACCATAACCACTTGGTAACTTTTAACAAACAATATTTTTATTAATGAAGGACAAAATGTTACCCCCCCAGCCCCGAGTGCATATATGCTGCCTGTAGGTGTAACTATGCAATACAGTACCCCAGTAGTTGTGAAGCAGCTGCTTCTCCCCTGCACAATGACAATCTGCAATGCCTGCGAGATTAACAGTGTCCATAAAAGGCATGGGTAGCCATTTCAAACACCAACCCTGTTTACAGAGCAGCTATGCACTCAAGCACCTGTTAATATGACTCTTAACAACTGCTTTTCAAGAGAACTGTGACTAATAGCGGGCACTTGTCAGCCGATACAATGGTGGCCTGTCCCAGGGCTGCCCATCGACAGGTGTGTGCCAAAAGCCCTATTTATGGGTATTGACTGGTGCCTCCTGAATGCATCTTTCTTTGGACATTGTTTTCACGGAATCATTACAAAGAGGATGTTTACATTTCAAAGGTACACTGGTATTTATATTTTTGTGCCACGATTTTGTACTGATGAAACTTTTTATATAATTATATACAGTTTATTGATATTCAATAAAATTGTTAATTTATAATAGGGTTTTGTGGGTGCTTAAGGTGACTCTGCAGCCATGGGTGTGGGTGGGGAGTGCTGCAGCTCCCTCATGTGCAGGGGGATTGGGGTGCTGGGCTGGGCTCTGCTGCTCCCACCCTGTGCTGGTGAACGGCAAGTGGCATCCACAGGGGGTGGATGCTGGCCACTATGGGGCTGCTGCAGCACTCATAACCTAGCTGTGTCCCTCAGCACTCTCAGGGGAGCACAGGGGACTGTCCCAGGGTGGTGAGGGGGCTGCCTCTGGATCTTGGCAGCCCCTGGAGCCTCTCTGGGGATGGGTACAGCACGAGACACTGCAGGAAGCTGAGCCTCTGGGCCAGTGACCAGATGTGGGTGGTGTGGCAGCAGAGGTGACGCATCCTGTTGTCACTGCAGAGCCCTTCAGCAAGTGCAGGTGGGGCTGTCCCCTGTGTGCTCAGGAGGTGATGAAGGGGCAGGTGCTCTGGGATACCTTGGGTACCTGCCTCTAGGATTTCATAACGAAAGTGTCTCTATGCTCCATAGCACCTGCCTTGCACCTTCCCAGCCACCTCTGAATTTGGGGTGCTTCAGGGACTGTGCACCTGGTCTTCTGTCTGCCTCCCACAGGGACTGGGATTTTGTCCTTCTCCCTTCACATTTCATCAGTGCCATCCCCAGGACGTTGCTTTCAACCAAGGAATAAGTGTTCTCCCCCAGCACTCATCCCCTCCCTCCAGCCTTCTGGCTTCATTTCTGCACCTCTCCTAGGGGCTGTTACCGACCAGGAGGATGTGTGTGGCTGTAAAAGCCAGCAGAGCTGCTGCTCGGCTCTTCTTTAATTAAGAGCTCGCTCAGTATAAACCGACTTTCCCAGCCGAGTTGGACTCATTACTCGATTATTAAGCAGGGCAGGAAGTTTTGGGTTTGCTCTTGTGTGTGCTTATTTCTTCCTTTTCCCAACAGGAAGCGGGGGAGGGGCACTAATGACTTTCAGCTTTCCATCCATAAAATCCTGGAGCCGCAAAAGCAGCTAAATAGTTAAAAAAAGACCAATTTTGAAAACAGACCACCTGCAGGAGCTGGAAAGGAGGGTCGAGGAGTGAGTAGGCAGAGGGCCCTGCACAGGCTGTCCCACCAGCCTGGGTCAGTGCTGGCTTGCCCCTGTCCACGTGTGTCACGGCTGTTACTGATTGGGATGGGAACCCTTTCCCACATGGTTTGGTTTGGTTTGTTGCTTCGTCCCTGCACAGCACCCACCAGGGAACTCTGCCAGCTCCCTCTCAATGGGCTTCAGCTAATTTTGGTTACACAGGCAATGAGAGTTGTGAGAAAACATTCTCCTTAGCAATCTTTCCTGCTTTCCTTGTGTTCCTGGCTTTGTCCAGAGCCTGGCTGGGAGGAGAGGCTTTTAGAGAGAAGGTATAAAATGGGTGGAGGACAGCCTAGGCTTCACTGACAAATCCCACTGGCATTCAAACACAAATGCAGCCTTAAGACACTGGAAAAAAGAAATGCTGCCTGTTCTGAATCACAAAAGCGCAGCTCACTGGCACTTGGGTTGTTGCTGCATCTGCTCCCTTCCCTGCCTTGATCAAGCACCCAGTGCCCTGGGAACCCATGGCCACTGGGATGGGAGCACCCTGCACCCCGGGGACCTATGGCCTCTCAGATGCTGTCCCACAGCTTGGGGCAGTGTCTCTGACCTCCGCAGGTCTGGACCAGCTGCTGCCCATCACAGGTGATGGATGGGGCCCAGATCGCTCCTCTTTAGTCTTTTCTCTGCCTACATACACCTTTGGGGCTCAGTAATGGAGAACTGCACCCGGCAGCTGGACCTCAGGATGAGTTACATTTTTCATCTCATTTTCGAAAGGGAACGCCCAGAGCAGCATCCCTGGCAGCAAGGGCAGCTGGCAGCAGCACTTCGATCCCCTGCCCTCAGCCCCCTGCTCTTCACTGAGCAGCAAGTGCTACACAGTGAAGTCAGAGCATTCATGGCAAAATGTCAGCAGGTTTTTTTCCCTTGCTTTTTCCCCCCCTCTCTATTTTAATGCCACAGGAACTAAACACACCGTAAAGCTGGTGCCCACAGCCTGGCTG